TTTAATACCTAATTTATTCATGACTAGTGGTCGTTCGCGAATTTGTCAGCGCATAATAATTTTAAATATTAAGCCTATGTTACTCCTGCACATTAACCTTCCAGTAAAATTCCGTCTAAATCAGTCCAGTCTTGCAGATTATCCGGTACAAACGTACAATTTTTTTTTTCGATGTAACATTTAGACACTTCAATTTTATTAATTGTTATAATATTTTAAAACTTAGGACTGTACCGTGGGGTCCTATTGCCAAAATTCTGGTACAATATCTCATTTTAATAGATTGTGACTATATGTTACGTTCTACGAAGAAAGCTTCGTAGTTAAGCTTCTCCTTAGCCTTATAAATTTGTTCTGACATAAAGTTGATTTTTTTTCCTTCCATTGCCAGTACAGTTAGAATTGCTAGTCTAATAATAGTTCTTTTAAAATAAAGGCGCATGACATAATTTTTTTTTATTTTACTTTTGAGTCATTTTTGTCCCAGTGAGAATTCGCCGTTACTTTTAAATTATGTTCATCTGACAAATTGTATAACAGATGGTTTTTTATATGACATCATGTGGTATGCCCGGCTTGCAGCATCAGAGAGAAGACGTCAATATTCAAGAGTGGCCGTCATCGATGACGGAATTTAAAAGTTAAACGTGACAATGTGTTAAAGCTCTTTTAAAAATGACTCATTAATTCTACATTCGACGAGGACGACTCTTAAAGAAATTTCTTAGAAATATTATTTGTATTCTGAATAATATTTTTTATTACAGTTAAACATAAGTACTCAAATAGATAGATAATGGATAAAAACAATTTAATGTATACAATTTAATATTGTGGTAAATCTAACTACGAGTATCAATTATAAAAATGTTTCAAGATGCAAGAAAAATTCTTTTTATCGAGATTATTTTAAAAATATACTCCGAAGTACTAACGAAAATACGGCGAAATTCATGCTGTACCAATATTTAAGATCTGGGTATTCGCAGAGAAACATTTTCCATTTGTCATGTAATCTACAACCATAAACATTTTAGTCTATTGTTTGTTAGGTCTTAATCTAGAAGATTACAGCGTAACATTTGGTGTCGCGAACATAAACCTCGCTCGTAAACTTGCAACCATTAATCCTGACCCCAAAACACAATGAAACACATAAAACGCGACTTAACAAATGTCAAAATGCGCAGAGAAGATTTCATGTCAAAGACTTAAATACTAATAAATTACACTATCTCCTATATTTTTACAGCATCTAAACATGCTAAATGATTTGACTAATATCTTTACCTGTATATTTTTATATATTTGTATTCCTATCTGCCTTACGTACGAATATAATAAATGCGAATGTTTTGATGGATAGGTAGATGGTTGGTTTTAAAAGGTATCTCCAGAACGGCCTCATGAATCTCGCTGAATTTTTTCATAGATGTAGAACATAGCCTAGAAGCACACATAGGCTACACATTATTTTTTTTATTCAAGGCGGAGCCACGGGCGACAGCGAGTGTAAAATGGTCGGCATCTTTTAAGCGGCTGCAAACTGGAGTCTGTGTGTACGTTTAGGGAACATGAACTCATAATCGCTTTTTGCGGCTAATGCTTGCTTGAAGTAGATCGTGTATGGTGACTATTATATTTTGCGATATTTTGCACCTCCTCGGTGCCTCGTAAAAGCTACTTTCGACTGATTAAAGCAGTAATTATGACTGTATAAACTTCGCGTGGGTACAAATGATAACGTCATCATTTACATAAATTCTTTCAAAGCTATGACACAGAGGCATTGGTAATTCATTGAGACTTAATAATTTTAATTCCGTGGTGATCGCACGTCTTCCATTTTATAAAATAAGAGTTCAAATTCTGATTTATTAGTCATGAAAATCAATGACAATGTTAATGTATGTTAATATTAATAGCATTATAAAGAAATATTTTATGTTTTTTAAACGAGGAATTACTTATGTAAGTAATCGTAAAAATATTTGAATATTATTAAACTTATAAGTTGTATAAAAATAATCGGTAATTCTAAAATCATTGATAATGGCCACAGAATAATACTTGTTCCAAGATAATCTTCGAATAAAATAATGTCTTATTTCAGTTAAAATTTAATTTTGTAACAAATTTTCTATTTCCAGCTACTATTCAAAGTTAAACATTTGTGACAAGTGTGATGGAGAGAGTGTTACCTGAAAGCGAATTCCATTTACAGCAACCGCTTTCAAACGGAATACAAAATGATATTATCTTTGTAAAACGCACATTGGATACAATGAGTTTTGTATAACATTGCAAAATAGTGACACATAAATATTCGTAGAGAGCACCTTATTTTGCACATCCAATAGAAATAGGCCGCATTTTTATGGAAGGCTATAAAAGTATCGTTACCTTTATGTGAAAACGCTACGGAGAGCGGCATAAATGACAATCTTAAAGCTTATTCAGTGACGTAAAAAACATCCAAAATTACATTCATTCTCTTTCAATTCTTTTTAATACAAATAGTACAAATACAAGAAGATTAAAAGAATGTAAATTACAATGAAAAATATGCTTAGAAGAAATTGTTAAATTAAATTGAAACGAAAGAAAGAACATAAGTTGAATAATTTCAAATACAAATTCTACAAAGTTATAATATATAAAACTTTTTAGATATCCCACGCCCTTAATTTATTTTTAAAGGATGGGAGGCTGATAGCCGCTGTGACGTGGTTATATTTAGATTGCGGGCCCCATGACGTGCATTGACTTAACGGTTTTCGCCATTCGTTCCGACACATGGGTCAAAAAAATATTGAAATAAAAATAAAGAAAGTTTATTACTTACCAGAAGCATTAAGTAATCATTAAGGTAACCACTAGGACTAATTGTTAATTTTACATTAATTAAACGACACTCAGTACGATAGTTAATGTGATTAACATGAATTTTCTTCGATATGTTTCAAAAACGTTCTGATGTTTTCTTAATATTAAAGTATATACTTAATTAAATTTGTTTAAATATTTCATGAGAAACACTTCTTAAATATGATTACAGTAGGTACAAATCACTCTCAGACTTATAATTCTTAGGTAATTTTAACGCGAACGTCGCTTAATTATTTTAACATTTTCATGGCAATATTTTGCTTTAATACTGTAGTTACGGAATGAAATATTTAATGGTACGTTTATCGTACTAATTTGACATTTTTATGATACTCTTATTTTTAATACTTTGTACGTAATACTTTATGAATAGTCTTTTCTTAAGCTTAATAGGCAGTAAAATAATAAATTCTGAATAAGTTTTATTTTTATATCCTACTAACTGTTGCCCACGACTCCGTCCGCGCAGATTTGAAATAAAGTTAATAATTACTAGCCTATTTGTGACTTCTATATCTATGCCAAATTTCATCGAGATGAGTTGAGTCTTACTGCAGATACTTTCTAACAAACATACGCAAACATTTTCATTTATAATATTATTAAAATAAAATAAAAGCAAAATTTAATAATATTTGAAGTATACAAAATACAGAAACTTAGAAATATGTAATTAAATTGAAAGAAAGTAATTAAATGTATTTCCTCTCGATTATGCGCTGCAATAAATTTTGCGAGCACTATTTAATTTTCGTAAAAGAAACTTCCAATTCCTATTAATTATAAAATCGTCAGCCAAGAAAGGGTTCAGGAGAGTATAATTAATTTTCATTAGAGCCGCTAGGGCACAGTTACTTTTAATGTTTTGCCGAATTCCCGTCGAAATTAATTGTAATGGTTAAAGTTACGTAACTTTTCGAAAATTAACTTTAAAGATATTTTTAACCAAATAAATTTAGTCGAAAAATTTTAGTAGCGGAACTTTTAAATTGATTTTTAAATATTTATTTTAGTGATTTACTCGCTCAAGGAGTGTGATAGTACAGTCAGCTGCATAAATATGTATACATTTTCAAATATTCATGAATTAGTATACGCCTTCGGTTTCCAAAATTTGTAATGACGTATCAACCTTTGACTTTCCTAAGTATTAAAAATGTATAAATATTTATGCAGCTGACTGTATTTTCAGAAGTGTTTTATCGTCAAATTATTTTAACTATACGAGGCAACAGAATCTACCATAGAAAGGGTTGAAAATGTTTATTATGTCTTACTGCTTGCAAGACACACAAACGGACAAACGGAGGCCCGCATCTCTTTTCCCCCTCTTCCGGAGCAAACAGCTAATATTATGAAAAAAGTCCTTTGCAGTGTACAAGAAACAGTTCGAGCAACAAATTAAAACTTTTATATTTTACTTTGATTTTCAAAACGATGAATATTTTTGCTATTGTAATAAAAAAAACATCATTGGGTACATACTTTAAAGTAAAGGTTAAAAAATATATATATACATAAAAATCCTGACATAGTTCAACAAATCACTACTTACTTTACAGCAGACAGCTAAAGTCCTACAAACTTTTTCAATTTTAAGAAATCTCTTACAAATGGAAATAGCAAATGTGTTCGCAAATTTGATACAATTTAAATTCACAACTTTTCTTCGACTTATTCACCGATGTAAAAATTGAGTTGTTCTTTAAAGAAATATTTTGTAAGAAAATACGTTCGATTATGAATATTGATTGAAGAGTTTGATAATTTATAATTAGCTTGGTTTATTAACCTATCATCACAATCTTACTTAAAGCCTTTAAATATTCGGAAAACTAATAGGATTATAAAAGTAATCGCGGGATGCAAATTGTCTGCACTTTAACGTATCAGTTCATTGAACTTCTCTAAGAGCGGGTACACACGAAGCGTTTTAAATCACTTTAGGAACATAAGCATTCACTCATCATACTAACGTATTCCTAGGTATGTTACTGTTGATGTCCTCTTCGAGATCTAAGACCAGACTCTCTAAGCTCGCGTTACCAAAGCTCTATTCAAAACGCCTAGTGTGTATCCGCTGTTCTGCGTTCCGCTTTCAATTCCTATCCATGTCAGCTCAAGTTGTCCGTTAGAGTGCACATGCTCGTAGAGAGGTCGGAATGCGGCGGCCTAACTTCGTTAGACCAGATCACTGAATATATTGTGCCCTAGTTTGCATTCAAATAAATTGATGTACGATATGCCGATAAAGGCAGTTTTAAAGCTCAAGCTTCTTTAAAATGTATGCGTGAGTTAAGATAAATTAATAAAGTATATTCAGTTATATTCCGAATAATGTTAATTAAGGAAGATACTACACGCAAAGGAAAGGCAAATTAAAATATATATCTATAGAAGTAAAAAAAGTAAGACAAATGGTATTGTAAAATAATAATAAACGTTTTTGTTTGTTCACAGCGAGCACCAACCTTGTGGGCAAGTTCACGCAGAGCGTACGTCGCATTGTACAGGATGTTAAAGATGAGGGCACTTCCAGTAAGTCTATATTTAATTTTCCGGAGAGGCAGCGTCCTTTTAACTCACTTAAACCAACGCTTACGTTAGGTGCAATTCAATTCACTTTCTTGTTTATGCCTATCTCTTTGCATATTAGCTCAGTTGTGGTTACAAAGAAGCAGTTTTGACAAAGTTGGTAGACTCTAAGTTAACCGCATTTTGTGTTAAAACTTAACATAATGATTAAGATGTTAATCGAAGCTCTACGTTAACTGTCTCCTCACCGAAGCCCTATTAGAGTATGACAGTATTTAAGAGTTTGTGTTAATTATTATCCTTTAATTTATTTCCCCATCAGTCATTGATCATAAAATTAATATTTCAAAGCAATAAAACATTGCTCGTTAGTTCGTGAAATTCTATTAAGCTAGTTGGCGCGTCACATGCCGGCAATTCCACGCTCACGTTCGTATAAATTCATAACTATTTCGGATATTTGAACCAGAACTTTGCTGATTCCAAATATAATTCCATCAAATCGCGGATTGTTTAATCAGTGCGAGGATTTCGCAATGTAATATGCAAATTATTTGATTTATGAAATAATGTCAATTGCTTCTGAAATAACAATGACACATTTGTGGCTTTGGTTTACGTTATGGTATAAAATATCTAACCGTAAACCGCCAAGACTATTTGAACCCGTTGGCATGAGTCGAAACTAAATTATGACAGCACACTAGCGCCCTCTTATCAACATCTAAAAATGTCGCCTCTCTCACCGGCGCAGATATTCTTGTTTTAGTGTACGTGTAAATAAGAAAAGCATATTAAAGAATCCAATGTTAGTATGTTTCATAAAATTATATTCGACCTTTGTTCTGCCGTTTGGAAGTATTAATTGTATTCTACACATGTACCAGGCGGGCAGACAAAAGAAGAAGTTATAGAAACGAATGAACGTCTACGCGCAGTGCGAATACGACTCGACGAAAACTATGACACAGCGAAGAAAGCTCTCGTCACTCTCATGGGACGATACAACGAGTCCAAGGCTGAGAGGAACGTCTTCACTAGATACGCCCTACTCAAGGCTATGATCAAGGTAACTTAGATTAGATATTACAATATTTTAATTTAATTTTACAGTTATAAAATAAAATATAGCATCATAAAATACCGAAGTAATCAACATAAAGGGTTCCCGTCCAGTAGCGAATTCCATAGTTGAATTAGTCCATTTTGCATTGCATTGTTCGTTGCTTTAATTAGCATAAATTCCAAGGCTCGTTGAGAAACCAATAAATACAGAGAAGCATTCTGTAGTCTGTGCCCTGGATATTAATACATAATTTGAAACAGATGTGATCGCAAAACGATGTATCTTAATGGCTTGTTTGATGGATGTATTTCGTTTTCAGTTGTAGCCAATTATAAGTGATGAATGTGATAATATCAATACTCCTAAAATATAAATATGTAATAACACTTTAGCAAGATTTAAAAGTTTAAAAACTTAAAGGAGCAAAGGTCATTTTAAATTAAATTAAATTAAAATTATTAAACGAATTAACTGTTACTTATTTGGAAACGGGTCGACGCAGCGTAGATAGGCCTCCCGCACGATGGACCGATGACCTGGTCAAGGTTGCGGGAGTGCACTGGATGCGGTCGGCACAGGACCGGGCATTGTGGCAATCGATGGGGTAGGCCTACGTCCCGCAGTGGACAAGTTTAGGCTGAGTATGATGATGATGAATTTAGAAAAGATTGTAAATCATTTTCAATTGAGAATATAATTATAATATTTGTATAATATTTTAAATAAAGAGCTTAACCATAGATGTTAAGCCTTTCAGTGATTATTCTAGGTACAGTAACCTTTCTATAAACGGTATTTTTGTAAGTAATGAATTAGATCATTCCAATGCAACTAAAAGTTATAAAACATGTTTTGTTTTTAACTAATAAAACGTAAATAATAAAAAAAGTTGCTAATTTTGAAACTAACTTCATTAAAACTTTTAACACAAATAACGTGATCGTGTACTATACTTTTTGGTTAGACAACAATTGAGTAAGGAAATAAAAACTCTGGATTTTTAATGTGCTGTGCTGCGCTCCATTTTGATGATAAAAATATTCTTTGATATTTAGAAAGAAATAACTTAATTTTTCTTTATTTAAGCTACCATGAGAGTCCAAGATACCAAGCTTTTCTATCTAAATTGTTAGATCTCTTCACGGTATAGCAGTTGTGTGTTATATCTTGTTTGAATTAAATTTTAATTTTATTTAAAGAGAAAATAAGTTAAAAATGGCCGTACTTTAATTATCATATATCTTTTATTGTTACCTATTAGCTGTAAGTCCAACATGTTAATTAATATCTTAAAAAGACTTTGTAAAATCGTATTTAAAAACATCACACTTTCTAAAATCAATCACAACTCTGCGAGTTACCACGCCTGAGAAGATTATGTATTTGCTCTAATTTAACTGGAATCCCATAAAGCCTTTGATTGTTTCCTGGTTGGCAATTAGAAGCGCGGATTGCGAATGTAAATTCAATTACGGCTTTAGGTTTACTTTCAACAAATGGAATACTTTACAAGTAATTGTAAACTTATAGGTTATTTTTTCTTAAACTACAGTGCACTTTTACAGTTGTTTTGTCATGCCGGCGATTCGTTGATCGTTTATCCCCTTCTATAAAAAAAAATGTTTTGAACCCCTATTATAATGTTGTTGACATTATTGTTGTTATTAGTACCTGTAATGTAATGCTGTTGCTATTACTAAAATAATATTTACGCATCAGTTTGCTTTCATTATTTCGTCAAATAGGTGTTAATAATAAATTTGTTAGTCACTGTTAGCTAAGTCTAAGTGGGAGGGCCTAAGTTAAAGACCCATACATGAATACAAATAAGGATATGTGAGTCATGTGGAGCTTGGAACAAAAATCTGCACGTAGCACACCAAGTATGTTTAGATTAAAATATAACCCAGCATGTACGTTACCAAGAATTTAATTTGTAATGATAATTCAATGCATTGATGAAGCAAAACAATCGTACGCGAAAAAAAGCTTACCCTCTGTCAATCGGGTAAAAATGTAAACAGGATGTTAGACATCTATGTAATTGATTTTAAAACGTAAACGCTTATAATTGTATATCAGTTCATATTATGGATTATTCAATTACATAATGTTATTCATCATCAGCTCACTATACGTCCCCAACGAGGGGCTCGGAGCCTACCCTAAGTTAAGGGTGACTAGGCCATAGTCAACCACGCTGGCCAAGTGCGGGTTGGTTGACTTCACACATATCTTTGAATGTCTTCTCAGATATGTGCAGGTTGCATCACGATGTTTTCCTTCATCGTAAGAACGTTGATTAAATGTACATATGTAAATCGGAAATCGAAAAACACATTGGTACATGGATTCGAACCAAGGAACTGCAGATTGCAAGTCAAATGCTTGATCACTGAGCCACCGACGCTTTTAATATTACATCTCTCATAATGTTATACTTATTTATAATTTTATGTTAATTTAGTAGTATTTATATAGTTCTATTACTTATGTAGTTAAGTAAAATTCAATCGTTAAGTAATGTTAAACAATTCAGTCAAGTTGGTAAAGACTTGATGTTTAATCTACTTAGGAAGTTGTAATACCGGCTTTGCTAATTGAGTAAAACATTTAAGTGAATGAGGTCAAAGTAAGGTATTTACGTGATACATTCCACTCACGTAGTGAGGGGGGCACGCGCAGTCCCTCGACCACCATTTTTGTCATACTTGTGTCCTGAATGTAATATAATGTGTTACATAACTTTCTCATCATAAAAGCAATGCGAATACAAAAGCGACTTCTTTAGTATATCCTTTTTGTTTAAGATAGGTACATAAAGACGATACTTACATTAAAAAAATAACCGGAATCAAATAACTAAGTTTATGAAGATGAAGCTCACTTCATCTTACTATCATCATCATCAAAATAGAGTGTAACAACACTCTATTTTTATTAAAACTTATTTGCTTCTCTGATGTGAATTTTCATACACATCTCAACATAAATCTTACTTAACTTACTTATATTATAAATGCGAATGTTTGGGTCGATGGATGCTTATTTGAAGTTATCTCCAGAATGGCTTAATGGATTTTGATGAAATTTGGCATATATATAGAACACAGACTGAGAGAACAAATAGGACGGACCGAGTCCTATTAGACAGTAAGTAAAAAAATAAAATAGCCATTTAGTATCTTACGAGTATAACCCTACACGTTACGTTATCTAAGCTCAGTATTTATGCAGGTCATAAAAGGACTATAAAATACAACCACAGTGGTCCTTAAAAATATATGAGCAATAAATTCTTCGAAGTCATTACTCGGAGTATATGCAACAGATGCTAAATGAATAATAGTGGTAGCAGCAATAATGACGGTGATAAATTATACATCTCTTACAATCTCATTTTTCATTCCAGTCTAGATCTTTTCTGGTATAGCTGATTGAATAATGATACACTGACAGGGTATTCACTAACGTTGTTTATCGTAATTGCAATGAAATTGAATCTATTGTGTAGTAATACTAACTGTCGCCCGCGAATCCGCCCGCGCGGAATTTAAAAAAACATAATTAGCCTATGTGTTCTTCCTGACTATGTTTTATATGTATGGCAAATTTCATCGATACCCGTTCAGCTGTTCTGGAAATACATTCAAATAAACATCCATCCATCTAAATATTCGCATTTATATTATAATATACGAGTAGTAAGATTATTCGTTATCCTTGACACTTAATAATTGTTATAGCGCACACGCATAAGCACTTTAAGCTTAATTAATTTAATAATTAATTCCATAACTATTTAATTTATTGTTGTATAAAGTCCAGTAGTTACTTCAGAACCTAATCATTGTACTCGTATGTATTTGATTTAGAGACATGCCTTTCATCATTTTCAAGTTCTTTTATCTATCACCTGTTGGAAAACCCACGTGCCATAGCGGACATATCCACCCATATTATTCACTCAAAGTCAAAGAAAAGAAACTCTCTGAATCATTTGAAAACCAAAGTCATACTTACAGCCTTGCTGGAAAGACTCAACAATGTTAGTCAGAATCGCCCAACGTAGTAACGGAAAACTGACAAACTATTTTTTTATCAAACTTATCGTAGATCATCATCAGCCTGCCCTTGGTCGTCCGGAGGATCGCAGTATGAATTACTTCCATACATCTCTATCAGATGTCACATTTGAATTAACTCCCTTCTTACGAATATCCTCTTTCACACAATCCATCCATATTTCTTGTAGCCATCCACATTCAATCTCAATACTTTGTATGGCGATTAAAGTGACATTTGTATTAATACATATTGTTGTCTCTGTTTCGCAAAAGAAAATGTAAGCGATGACAATATATGTTGATACAATTTTCTACAGTGAACGTCTAATGCATATGGTGAGAACCCATTTCTGCTACGAAGTACTACGAAATTATTACTACAATTTTTTTTCTTCATTTTTATCTTTTATGATAAATTTTTAAACAGCATCAAAATGGGCATTATCTCTTTATTTTATGATTGAATAGGTACAATCATGACAACAGGCAAGCCAAAAGGCTAATGGTGTTAAGAGTTTACGAAATTAAGCCGCCAGTAAAAATCTAGCTCTGGACTTTTGCCAAAAATTTTATAACAGGCATCCCACATCGGAATAGTTAAGAAAATTTCTAGTAATATTGGCAGCACATTGGCGTCTCATCGGCATTTTTTACATTAACTGATCATCAGGGCGAGCACAGTACTTTACTAATATACTATCACTATATCAGATTTGAGCGTTGGCACAGTCATTTCTATTTATTTCTAGATCTATAAAAATCTCCTTTATACAAACAAATCCAAGATTTCCTTAAGATTTTTTTGTGTTCCTAACTCTACCTGTTAGGCAACAAAGTTACTAAATACTAAAATACTTTTTTAATTCATATCTTCCCACCAAGACAATTTTCTGCAGATTCAAACTCAAAGAAGATTAAAGACGAAAAAGAATTAAC